TCTCTCCCTCTCTCTCTCTCACACACACACACACACACGCACACTCTCTATCTCACACGGACACACACTGTTTCACACACACACACACACACACACACACACACACACACACACACACACACACACACACACACACACACACACACACACACACACACACACACACACACATCAACTAAAAAATCATCACAATTACAACATCACCACCGCTTCACTGTGTGACGCCTCAGATTAGTTTCCTGCTCACCTTCATTTCGTCCAGCAGCTTGAGACAGGATGCATACTTGGACTCATAGAACTTGAAGATGATGTCCCGGATCTGAGGTTCCAACTCTAGAAATAACTTAAAGGAGCTGAGGACGGAAAAAATATTAGATTAGATTTATTTTAATAAAATGTACCAAGACATTTTCAGTTATGGTTAATAAAACACCACCTACCTGCTGGAGATGACGTTACGCTGGAGCTCCTGTCTGTCAAATGTGGCCAAAGCACACATGCCTCCATACACAGCTACATTACTGGGGGACAGGAGCTGCAGGAACACACACACAATTTACAGTTTAGGGTTTTGATGTAGATAAATTGTAATAGTGATTTTAACCTACAGCCGTGGATGGTGTGAGGCAGCAGTCCAAGTAAAAAGAATCAAAAGACTATTTCCCAAGTATTCTATTCATAACACGATTGACCCTAAGCGATGTTCTACCCTGCTGTGACTCAGTCAAGCTGTTGGAGCTAGCATGGAGCCCAGAGCTACTTACTGGAAGAAACAAACAAGCAATTTCAAAAAGAAGAAGACAGAAGTGTCTTTAATATGAAGTAAAAGGAAGTATCCAGAATGTCAAACTGAGTTATTAGCAAAACCAGGTTGAATAACAAGACGGGAGCTGAAGTCTACAGATAACTGTGAAATTATATTAGCAGCAACAGCGTTACTGTAAAGCAGGGTAGATCTCCATTCACTGTTCAAAAATTCTCAGTTTTTTTTTTATTGAACATCTTTCTGCAAAGCATTTGTCAAAAAAGTTCTAAATTTGGTATTAGGATCATTAACATAGCAGCAATCAACTATATGCCGAGTAATGTCTGCTTACGCAGATGATGGATGAAGGAACCCTTCTGCACATGCATGTTAGTGGATCATATCCATAATTAGGACTTGAGAGATTGCTGAAGCATGACATCAGCTTGTGTTGGCCTTCGGAAGGTGTTATTGCAGAGAACACTGGATATTTTGGATCCAATGGATGAAGTTGCTTTAGTGGATCTAGTGGAGAGTTCATTGGCTTACATCACTCACCTCAGGACAGTCACAGTGGTCAAAGGAAGCCTGCAGGAAGCACTTGGCAGCTGGTTTATATTTTCGAGAGGCCAACTCTGCCAGTCCTTGAAACAATAAACAAGGTTAGATAACTACTGTAGAGCGGTGCAGGACCTCCCTGTTCCCTTTTCCTGAAGACAACAGCCTGTTTAACCTGTTTTTGTTAGATGCCGCAAGCTGAAGAGATTTGGAAGTTTTGTTTTACAACATAAAATACATCAGTAAATATCTCTGGTGAATGTCTGAAAATTCTACATGTCATAAAAACAGAGGTGGCAAACAAGTGACTACATTACATGTCATTTGTTAGACGCTTTTATCCAAAAAGACTTACATACATTCCGTACTGGACAATCCCCACAGGAGCAATTTGAGGTGAAGTGTCTTGCCCAGGGACACAACGACATGCTGACTGCAGTGGGACTCGAACTTGCTACCCCCTGATTTGAAGTCCAGCACTCTATCCACTGAGCCACAGCCTACATAATGTAGTTACAGTATGTAGTTCCTTTACATACTAATGTTAGCATTTTACTTCTTGCGATTCATTTGCGCTTCAAAAATGAGGAAGCACGGCTCTGCTTTCTGCCACAGAGTCAGAACTAAACATGGAGAACCAGCATTCAGTTATTATGCTCCAAACATCTGGAACTAACTACCAGAATCATGCAGATCTGCTGCAACTCTTACTACTTTTAAATCCAGGCTGAAGACATTTATTGGACTACTCATATATTACACTGCAACTTGTATTCATGTACCGTAATTTTCGGACTATAAGGCGCACCTGAATATAAGCCGCAGCAGCTAAATTGAATGATGTGTACATATATAAGCCGCACTGGACTATAAGCCGCAGGTGTTTTAATGTTTAATTACCATATGTAAGGGTTCGTGCACAGAGGGGATTGTCGGGAAAGAGATGGTTGTTTGTGGAAGCTCCCATTTATTAACATTTCAACAAACAAGTTGCATATTTGCATAACGTATTCAAGTGTTACCATTTAGTGCAATAGTAGCTACAGAACATGTACTGTGCTGTGTAAACTGTACTGTATCACATAGCGTTTCAGACACACAAACGTTTCAACTTTCAAACTTAAACGGTGCGCTCCCAGCGCACGTACCGGCAGTGATCTACAGCAGCGGTTTTCAACCAGTGGTACGGGGACAAACTGTCTCGCTCTCGTAATGTCTGTCTGTCTTGCTCTCGTTCTGTCTCTCGCACCACTCTCGGTTCCACTTTTACTTTTGCGCGCTACCTGTCTCACTCTTTTCCG